AAGGAAATAGAACTACATGTAAATTAAGTAACAATGGACATAAACAAAGCCTTTTTCTCCAGACTTACTCTGGAAAGTAGATCACATTTTCAAGCTATCATAAAATTTCTCATCTACGAATTTGTTGAAGAATGAATGCAACATGAGCAAAGTTACAAATGACTAAAGAATACTGTGCTAAATAAGAGGCATCTCCTTGTATGGTGACTAAGACTAATAAAATGAAAATCAAAAGTCACAGTAGTTTCCTTTTTCATCTTCTTTTAAAGAAGGAAAAGCACCACACAAAACTCTTGCTCCAGCCAAAGTTGTGTGAGGCTGATACTCTCTTCAGTGACAACCAGAATTAGAAGACATATGTGAGACATATGTGCTTGTGTTGCTTTTACCCCTTAGGTATTCCTCTAATCTCTTTTCGACTCAAGAAAGCTATGGGACCTGCGATGCAGGGTAAAAAACATCTTCTAAAATTAAAAACATTAATTAATACCATTTCACACATTCTATCAGTGTCTCTCTTATTGTCAGATGTTGTGACGCTATAGTTTTTCATGCCCTATCTGGGCAAACCTGCCCCAAACCAAACATCTTTACCAGTCCTCTTTCTCACACTCACAGAAAAATCTGTAAGTGGCTGGCAAAAATATGTCTGCAAGTTTTGTAAATTTATTTAGAGGCAAAATAAAAATATTCTACACTGCCTATCCCTAGGAAGCTGCAGATTAATAATGAAGAAAGCCTAATGCAAATACTGTATCTCACATATGCATGCATGCAAATCAAAGAACCACTTTCATGCAAATTAAATAACACACTTCTAAATTTACTTAACTAAGATGTATATGTTGCCTCTGACAAAAAAGAGAGAAATTATTCCACTAATACCATGACTGTCCAAGGCATCCTCAAAGGATAAAGAAGAAAATGAAAACTGGAGAGGGAACAGAATGGCACAACACCAAATACTTTCTGTAACAAACTAAAAGACAACGCACGACTTAGAAAATATGAATTGCTAATTAAGATGGAGCCCTCAAACCAAGCAGAATTCCACACACTGCTCCAAAGGTATGATCATCAAGCTCTGTAACACTATCTTCCACACCCTTGAAAAGAACAAGGTTGAAGAGAATAAAAGCATGCTAAACAATGCTGTGGACTGTCAAAAAAACCAAGTAACAAGAGCAAAAGAAGAAAACAGAGTTCAAGCTGTAATACACAAAAATAAGTCCTTCCAATGAGCATGAAAAACACCCACAATAAACAACAGAGAAAATTCTTTATAAATCACAAATTCATTGAGCCAGCAAGAACACAGGGAATTACAAACCTTATCACTCCTTGTCTGCTGTTCTCGTCTTCATCAAAAGCAGAATATATTTATTTTTTTAGACTGTACCAGTTGACTTCAGCATGCTCAACAAAACCAACTAATGGGAAAGACAAATGCTATCACTCCTAATTTTATGAAGCTAGCATTGATCAAGTAATGGGCTGAATAGAGCAACCATAGTAACAATATGAAGTCATTTTTTAATTCAAATCAAAATGGTGCCTTCAGTTAGGAAGTTGTAAAAGCCCATACTTGTACAAATAAATAAATTTAAAAGCCCTAAAAACTATGCCAGAAAGTTACAGTGAAGAGTTTTAAGAGAGACATTGTCCAATTCCGGTAAGATTCGGGAGTGTTCGTTCAATTCCCTCAGTGTGAATTAAGACACAAATGAGTTCAAAATACCATTAGAGAGTGAGACTTTATTATTGGTTACTCAAGGGGAAGAGAGAAGGGGCAATAGCAAAGTCAGAAACAGAAGACGGCGGAAGCAAGCAAGATTTGGGATGGTGCAGTAGAGATAGCCACCACCATAGGTCCAGCAGCATTCTGATGATCCATAGCTGTCTTTTCTTCGGTGGTGAGTGCGCACGCCATGCTCTGGGCGCTGGTCCTGTCGGGCAGTGAATGGGCAGTTTCCCTGGAGTTGAGCAACTCCCAGCCTTGTGGTCTCAGACAGGGTGGACAGTGGTGCCTCATGGTCTAGCTAGCTGGATGGGATGTCGATCTAATGATGGCAGATGGCTCAGCAGCCAGAGGGTGTCCATGGTGGACAGTGGTGCCTCTTACCTTGAAATGTCAGTCATTATCGGTTAGCTGGAGGATTTGGGTGGAGGACAATGGTGCCTCCTTATCTTGGTGACTGGAGACACCTTGTGAATCAACAAGCCTCGAGACAAACAGTCCAGGGGTCGCTGTCTTCAGTCTCCTTCACCAAGTCATCAAGGCCAGACAATTTTTCAAAGATCCCTTACAGACATGGGCAAGATGGATCCTCTTTTGTGGCATATCAGGAAAATCTGCACTGCATGTTGTTTTAAACCTTTTTTCCTTTTATTTTTTTAAATCTACATCTTGTCTACTTTGACTTGCCTCAAAACCTGATTTAACAGGTCTCTGACAATCAAATGGAAAACTAATGAAAATACCGAATAAAAATTATTTACTCAATTCTTCGCTTTGTTACACCTACGTAAGAATGAGGACATTCTACTACTTAGCAAGAAAATCTATCTTTTTTTAACTTGTTTTGCTTTTATTAACATCCGTTGCATTCTACAAAGATCTAAGTAATGTGGAAAAAATTAAGGTTTCCATTTACTGATGTAGTGTATCAGTGAGAAAGGTCATGTGACCTTCCACAAAAAGAGGTCAGCAAATTTTAAAAGAAATACAGGATTAAAGTACATTCCTCCACCACCTCTCTGTCTCAGAGGACTCCATGCACCACCACCACAACCACTCACACTCCTGAAGGCACTGTAGAGTTCTGAGGGAAAAGGACATGACAATCCCTTGAAGATCAAGGGTATAATGACTTTTACTGTGTTAAATTGGGACATTTAGGTGCACTGTAGTGAATAGAAATTATCAATACCCACTCTACTTGAAAAAAACTCCAACATAATGCACAAAGATAAACCCCTTCAATTTCAAAAAATTCCACAATTTCAAAAAAAACCCACACGTCTTCAATTTCATAGTCTTACTGCCCTTACATACAAGATGTAATGAAATTCTACCTTATCAAAAACTTCTGTACCACTGTCACATTTCATAGAATCATAGAATCAGATGGGTTGGAGTCACCTTAATGCTTAAAACCCTAGGAGTAAAAGACCCACCTGCATTGCTACTCATACATGCAACCTACTAAGCACCGTATTTGAGAGAATGGGTATGAATCATAGTTTGCTTTTTATGATATGCTCCAGGCCACAGATAAGCTGAGGCACTAGAAGCCTCCTCTTCTGCTTCATCTGGGAAAAAAAAAAATCACTAAACTCTTCAACACAACTCTGTTGATTTGCTCCCTTCCACCAATCAACACAATCACAGGCAACAGAGAGAACCTCTCATGATTAACAAAATGAGGGCAATAATGTTATGGCTGAGTTAGCATGTATCTTAACATTTGAGCTTTATATGTCAAAAGATTTACGTTTTTTCTGAAGTTGACACCACGGAAGATCATGAGATACTACCAAGCAGCCTTGACATTCAATTTAACTCTTTGTCAAAAACTTTGTCTTCTAGATGTATGATCATGTTCGACTGACTGAAGCTGAGATATGACTGTGTTAAGAAAAAGCTGCCTGATTGTTAAAGGGCTTCTTTCAGTTCTGTAGACATCAGTGTCCTGTTAATGGATTTTCTGTGAAAGCAGGATGATGTCCCGAAATCCATTTGTTCCAGTGCCCTTACAGATGGGCATGTCATCTACCTATACTCTATCTAGCTAACTCTTTAATCCCATCCTATGAAATTTTAGAGGTATACAATTCTTTATTAATTAAACTTACAGACATCCTAGTAAAAGTTCTACATGCAAGTGAAACAGTTCTACCACTTTAATATTTCGTGGCTTCACTTCAGTGTGTTACTGCCATGAAAGTCCACGGACAAAGGAGTGTGAGGGAACCAGGGCCTGTGCACATGAGCCAGTCTGCACTCAGAAAAGAATGACAGCAGCAAAAAATGCTACCATTTTAGGTTTGTATTGACATGCTCGTCTGATACCACTAAAATTGGAGTAAGCACTCCTAGTGACTCTTTCATAACTCAGATTCACAGAAGTTTTGATTGGAAAAGGTCTTTGGAGGTCTTCTACTGGCAACACTAGACAGGACCAGCTAGGGATTGGTCTAGTGTGATCTGGACAACTGCCAAGAACAGAGATCCCGTGGACTCTGGGTAACATGTTGCAGTGACACACTACCCTCCTGGTGAAGAGCCATAGTAATTATAAATTGTTCCAGGAACTGTAAAGATTGCTTTCTCTCTTTTACCACTGAGTTCCTAACATTGGTTGTGTTGGCTACTGACAACTACATCTGTTGAAGAATGTCAGACAGGTAATAAACCATTACAGTCTATCAGATCTTGTGAGATACTC